CGATCCCCGGGCCAGCGGCCGGGCGCGGGGAGGTGAAGGCCACCGTGCCCGTGGGGCTGGACCTACCCGAAGATGGGGCCGGGGCTGTGAAATCCGTCTTTGCGGGATGTCGGGGCCCATCTGGACGGTCTCCGGGAGCCCCCTGGCACCCACGTTCATTCCGGGAACAGACGAATTTTGCACCAGGCCTCTGTACAGACAGACAGTCACAGGCCTGCCCAGCCCTGCGGGGGGGTCGGTGAGGAGACAGACAGCGAGCAGGCTTCTGACAGGACCCAGGCCTGCTTAGTCACCTCAGCCCCTGGCCTCACCGCATTCTACTGCCCCCCCTCCCGCAGCCAGAGGACCTAATGAACATGCAGCACTGCAACCTCCTGTGCCTGCCAGAGAACTACCAGATGAAATACTACTTCTACCACGGCCTCTCCTGGCCCCAGGTGGGCAGCGGGGGGATCTGGGGACAAGGGGACACCAGGCGTCGGTTCCGGGGGGAGCGGGCGGGGCTTTCAGCTGGGCTGGGGGGCATAGAACTGGGCCAAGGGAGGGGCAGGATTCTCACCTGTGTCTGTCCTCTCCCCAGCGAACGACAGGGGAACAGTGTGGTGTGGGGAAACCAAGCCACTTGGCCTAGAGGTCAGGAGCTGTCACTGAACTCACCACTTGACTGACGGACTTGTCTGTCATGCACACAGCGAGAGGCGGGCGGTTGGGACCCCATATCCTCTAAGGGCTCCTCGGCCCTGACAGGAAGTCATTTTTTTGGTTTCTTTCTCCTCCCTGTCACCCAGCTCTCTTACATCGCCGAGGATGAGAATGGGAAGATTGTGGGGTACGTCCTGGCCAAAATGTGAGTTACCAAGCAGAGAGAGAGAAACCTGGTGTGGGAGCTGGAGGGGGTGGGGGGGGCACCAATATCGCACATGTCTGGTGGCTGCTGCCTGGGTTTTTTTGTTTTTTTTTTTTTAATTAATCGACTCTTATTTTAGTTCAGTTTTGGATTTACAGCAGAATTGAGTGGAAAGTACAGAAAGTTCCCATATACCCCTTCCCCTCTCCCCACTAATTCCCTCCATCGGTAATGTCTTGTGTTATAGTTTTTACAATGGATGAATCAATGTTGCTACATTTTAAAACTCTGTAGTTGCCATTAGGATTTACTCTTGGAGTTATACCTTTGATGGGTTTACACGAATGTCAAATGACACATGTCCACTATTATGGTATCATACAGAATAGTTTCGCTGGCCTAGGAATTCTTCGTGCTCTGCCTATTCATCCCTCCCTCTCCTTCCCCCTGGCAACCACTGATCTTTCTACTGTCTCCAGAGTTCTGCCATTTCCGGAATGTCATAGTTGGAATCATACACATGTATCCTTTTCACACTGGCTTCTTTCACTTAGTGATGTGTATATACGATTCCGCCATGTCTTTTCGTGTCTTGCTAGCGTGTTTCTTTATGTCACTGAACGACATTCCATTCTATTCCGCCGACACTACACATGTCTTTTGGCTGCTGCGTGGGGTTTTGAGAGTCCCAGCTCTCTCCCAGCCCAGGTCTGGGAGGGTCTTTGGGGTCAATCAGAGGAGTTTGCGCTCCTGCCACGTGCAGCAGGCGGTGGCCGCATCTGCGAGCTTCTGTGCTTTCTTCTTCCTCTAGGGAGGAAGACCCCGATGACGTGCCCCATGGACACATCACCTCACTGGTGCGTAGGGCCCACCTGGGCTCTGGTGGGAGTGGAAGTAGGGGTCACTTGGGGCAGCCCTCGAGGTCTCACCTTTCTCCCACTAGGCTGTGAAGCGTTCCCACCGGCGCCTCGGCCTGGCTCAGAAGCTGATGGACCAGGCGTCCCGAGCCATGATCGAGAACTTCAATGCCAAATACGTCTCTCTGCACGTCAGGAAGAGGTGGAAGCCCAGGGCCAAGGGAAGGGGCGGTAGGGAGGAGATGCTGTCTCGATGCAGGTCCTGGGGTGCCCTGGATTCTGGAGATCCGGGAAGTGGGATTAGCGGGGAGCGGGGGGGACTAGGAAGAGGGGCAGGACCTGGACGTGCTGTCCCTGCCTGGCCCAGTCTGTGCAGCTCAGCAGTGCCTTATTCTCCTGCAGTAACCGGGCCGCCCTGCACCTCTATTCCAACACCCTCAACTTTCAGTAAGTAGATCTAGATTCTTCTAACGGAGTGGGGTTGTCGCAGGTCTGGCTCATCCAGGTGCTGAGATGGGCTGAGCTGCCTTCCAGGCAGGGGGCATGGGCAGCAGAGATGGGGAGCAGGCCGACCTGCTGCCATCTGCTCGAGGCGTGCTCTGATGCTGGAGGACGTGCGGTGCATCTTGCTGGGTGGAGGAGAGATTGCTCGACGCTGGCTGGGGGTCGGCGAAAGCAGCATGATGAAGAGCACACAGGCTTTTCAGCAAAGGCTCAGGAATAGAGATGAGGGCCCAGGACATGAGCAGAAGCTGAGGAGCAGGACTCAGAGTGGCCAGGTGCCTAGAAGCATCTGAGTGGGACCAGAGAAAGACTATGGTGCTACAGAAACCTAAGCATGTCCAGGGAGGACGTGCCGTCAGCACGAGGAGCGGAGGGATCTAAAGCCCCGGGTATCCTGGTGGATGAGGGCAAGTCCACTTGGGGATGCGGGAGTCTCTGTGTGCCCAGCACGGGACAGAGAGAGCCTGGCAGGGAACTGACACACCCAGTACTCCATGATGAAAGCCGCTTGAAAGCGAGGTTGGGGTGGGCTGTCCGTGGAGGACCCACTGAGATAGCATTCAGCCTGTTTGGTGGGGGATGAGAAGGGACTTTGTGAAGGGCCCTTGACCCAGGTGCCGATGCCTCCGGTACTCATTTCCAGGGGTTTAGGGCTGGCAGGGCCATCCTAGGCCATTGAATCCTGCATGCACATCTCCAGCGAAGGCTCAGCCCCTGAGCTGCTCGGGCCAGGGGCCGTGCCGCCTGGCGATGACTGTCAGAAACAGAGGCCGCAGCCCCACCTCCTCCCTGGTTCCGATCGCTAGGCATAGGAGCCTGCTGTGCGTGCCCAACAAGTGACAAGGAGCAGGGCAGGGAGGGAAGGGGACGGCTAAATTCAGGGCTCAGCTCACAAGAAACCACAGAAACAGATCTTGGTAGCCAGGCTAGGGACGCAGGACCGTGGCAGACCCTGGGGTGGCTGGGAGATGAAGGCTCGGAGGACTCCAAAAGGGTCCTTCCGGGGGGGAACGACACTCTGCCCCCACTAGCATATGATGCTGGAAGCCTGAGGAGAAAGCCTGATCCGGGTCATCCCCTGACCCGGGCCGTCCCCCTTTTCTCCACCCCCTGCCCACAGGATCAGTGAAGTGGAGCCCAAATACTATGCAGATGGAGAAGATGCGTATGCGATGAAGCGGGATCTCACCCAGATGGCCGAAGAGGTAAGAGTCCGGTGGGGTCAGGGCCACGGCCACAGTCCCTGCAGATAAAGAAAAGCAAGGCAAGCAGGGGAGGCCCTGCGGCAGGGAAGGTAAAGCTCCCTGGGGCCCCGAGACAGCAGGAGGCCTGCGATGGCTAGAGGCGACACGGACCAGGTGCCAGCCCTGTGGCTACGTTGCTGGGAGCCATGGCCCTCATTACCTGTTTCTTCAGCTGTCAGGTGGGGAGCTGGGCCGTGGCAGGGCTCCAAAGGAAGCCACGGTGGCCCAAGATTCCCTTCTCTCACGAAGAGGCCTGTGCCACCCTGAGGCGTGATGTGAGAGGCAAGGGAGGAGACCCCTGGAAGCGCTGAGAACAAGGGCCCCAGGATAGCAGTGGGGACCCGGCGACAGCCACGGCCTGCCCCAAGGCTCATGGGTGGGACAAAACAGGTCTGAGGAGAAAGTCAAGGTCCTGAGGCAGCCCGTGTGGGGGAGGCATGAGCACCCGCCCTCGACAGGAGAGACAGCAGTCCCAGAGGGCAGAGCTGGAGCTCAACCCGACGCAGCCCTGTGTTCCCTACCCTGTCCTGCTGCCTCACATTGTGCTCCCCGCCCCCAGCAAGTGACAGGCACGGGCATCCTTGAGCAGCAGGAGGGGGCCTACTGGTGTGGAGACTTAGGTCCTATCTCCTTTCTCCCACTCTATCTGGGCTCCTGGCGGCAGCTGAGGCGGCACTTGGAGCTGAAGGAAAAGGGCAGGCACACGGTGCTGGGCTCCATCGAGAACAAGGCGGAGAGCAAGGGCAACTCACTTCCAAGCTCGGGAGAGGCCTGTCGTGAGGAGAAGGGCCTGGCTGCCGAGGATAGCGGTGGTGACAGCAAGGACCTCAGCGAGGTCAGCGAGACCACAGAGAGCACTGACGTCAAGGACAGCTCAGAAGCCTCTGACTCGGCCTCCTAGAACCAGCCTTCAAGTGCTCCTCCCTCCGCCCCGGCCTGCCCATCCCATCCTCACCCTTGGAAGTTTCACAATAAACTTCACCCAGCGGCCTTGGGGGGTTTGTGTGTGGGAGCGTGCACATGTGGGGGGCGTGCCTCTCTCAGGCCCCTCCGTGTCCCTATGGATGTGGACCTCATGGCATTTTGGCACAGCACGCCCTACAGAGCCCAAGTGAAAGGGCGAGCTCTGT